AAAAATCCAGGAATGTTTAAGAACCAATAACAAGGAAGAAGAAAAGATAAAAGAGACTTTAAAAGAAGGAAGAAGATGAAAAAAGGTTGAAACCGAAAGAAGAAAAGATAAAAAAGACTTTAAAAGAAGGAAGAAGATGAAAAAAGGTTGAAACCGAAAGAAGAAAAGATAAAAAAGACTTTAAAAGAAGGAAGAAGATGAGAAAAGGTTGAAACCGAAAGAAGAAAAGATAAAAAAGACTTTAAAAGAAGGAAGAAGATGAGAAAAGGTTGAAACAGGTTACCAAATAATGGGCTAAAGCTAAGAATTAGAGGTGAGTGAATAAGAAAGGCAAGGATATCTATTTGAAGTAAAAAAAAAAAAAAAAAAAAAGATCACTTTTCTTAATTATATATTTTGTTAGTTTTATATGGCGATTTTTCTGAAAAATCATCACAACCGATTGTTATGATTTGGGGGCGATGGACTCTTCTGTCTCTCTGTCTCTCTCTCTTGTCTCTCTCTGTCTCTCTCTGTCTCTCTCTGCTCTCTCTCTCTCTTCTGTCTCTCTCTGTCTCTCTGTCTCTCTCTCTCTCTCTGTCTCTCTCTCTCTCTCTCTCTCTCTCTCTCTCTCTCTCTCTCTCTCTCTCTCTCTCTCTCTCTCTCTCTCTCTCTCTCTCTCTCTCTGTCTATTCAGTTATGTCAGAAGTACGCCGCGGAAACTCCTTTCCATTAGGGACAAACTCGACCCCGATACCAGGGAAGGGCATGGAACGTCCCAGGGAAATTGCAGGGTAAGATATGGATGATGTAGAAAGAATCGGCCACTGCATTGTCTATTGCAAGGGCCAACCCCTGACCAATCCCCGCAGCGGAAGCCGAAGAATCCTCCACGTATGCACGGCAGGGTAGAGAGTATGACTGGTATGCAGGAGCAAGCAAGGAGATGAAAAAAGGTCGAAATCGATTACCAAATAATGGGCTAAAGCTGAGTCTGTCTGACACTCTCTCCTGCCGTGAATATGTGGTGCATTTTTTGTTTTCGTGATCGGGGTTTGGGTGGTGCGGTCCTTGGCATTCAGCAGTATGGTGAGTTATTATCTTCATTATGTTATTATGTTGTTAGTTTACCCTGCAATTTCCCTGGTACATTTCATGCCCTCTTCTGCTATTGTGGCTAAGAATGTGGGGATTTGGGGGGGGGGGTCGCAGCATAATTCTTTTATAAGTGTTTACCAAAGGGTGAGAGGAATCCATCAATATCAATATTATTGCTTTTGATGATGGGAAGGCATTGTAAAAAATTGCTATATATATGCATATTTATTTATGTATTGTATATTAGTATATACCTATTTCAAAATAGCCAGGTAATTTACCTTGCAATTATTATTCTTCCTTGTCTTTAGAATTCTTGGTGTAATATGGAAGAATATCTTGTTGTTTACCATGGCATGACGCAGATGAAAGTATTGATAATTGTTTACAGAGTGACTGCACCCCATTCAGGCAAAGACCCAATTACTTCAGCCACTTTTGGGGATATACAAACATACCTTATGGACAAAAAACCTTCCTGACCTTAGGGTTTGACCCACCAAACCTGCACCCATTTGCTGTTTTTTCCTATTAGAGGCTCTACCCTCAGGCCTTTTCTTACTCTCTGCGTGGCATTTGTTGCAACCCATATTCTTTAACTTAGACAATGCACAGAACATTTTTTGTATCAGTGAGTGTATTTTTATGTTTCTTTATGATTGTGTCATTAGATTTTCTTGTAAATGTTTGCCAAAGATTTACATAATGGATAACTTCCTTATTATCCTTGCAAAGGAAATACCATAGATGAAAATTATCATATCTCAGTCTCAGGTCAACACCATGGCTGACGAAAGTGTTTTCACACACTCTGCCCATCCTTCCAACCCTACCCTACCCTCTCCTGCTAAGCTAAGTGGAATACACCACAACCCACATATTTTTAAATCTTTCAGATAAGAAAAAATGTTTGAGTGTTTTATCCACCTTTTTTAACCAGTATTAACTTTTTTTTATATACCATCACAAACACATTTATGAATATGCCTATTCCACACTATGAAGGCTACTTGACAATTCACAACCAAGTACTCAACTTCAATAAATCCTCACACCAAACTTCCATCCATATCACTGAGCTTCATATCTCACTGCTTTAGGCACTCCATGGACTCTCAAACCCCTCAGTCATTTTGTGTTCCTCATCTTCCAATTTCAGCTTTACCTTACTCTTCCCCTCCCCTCCCTTCCTCCTTTCCTTTCCTCACTTTTCATTCCTACCACCACAACCCCTCCTCCTCTTCATCATCATACCCACCAGATATTATAATGGGCATTGAGACATGGCTGACCCTCAACATCGACTCTGCTAAACTTTCCCCCCTTTACCACGACTGTTATACGCAAAGACTTGGTTGACCAACAAGTTCAAGGCAGATAAAATTTGAAACACTTGAGTATTTCTTCTCATGTTATTTCCAGCAGCAAGATGATGGAGGAGTATGGCAAGGAGGGTCCCATCCTTAGCATCTTCCTTTCGGAATTCCACAACATTGCAGGCCCTAAAATAGTGTATCAGTACCCTGAGAACTATGTCACAAAGGAGGTGTTTGATGCAGTTTCTGTCTACATCATCCCAAAGCCACAGATCCAGAAGAGGATCATCACAGTCAATGTCCTCGGCCACAAGATAACAGGCTTCCCCAATGAGATCAAGAACCCCAGGTACGTGCGCAATGCCCTCATCTTCAACCTGTGCTTCGTGTGTGACTCCAAGTCCCGTACAGTGCACTATGAGCCTGCTGTCAAAAAGCTCTCTGAATACCTGGAGAATCTGGAGCTGGAGAATGGCTTCCTCTCTAACGATGACAGTCGAGAGCAGATACCCAGGATGCTGCGCCACATCCTGGAGGAGCTCAATGCACGGGGAGAGTGCACCGTGACAGTGAACCTCAGTGATCAGAAGCTGGTGGCAGCAGAGCACTCAGAGCGCAAGGTAGGTGACAAGGGAGAGCGCAGGATGAGTCTTCTGAGTGACAGGAGGCACCCTATTGGTGATGGGAAAATTGGGAGCCAGGAAGGCCATGAAAGGAGGATGAGCATGCTGCCGCCGACCTCCAGCAAGAGGAGATCTCTCAGAGGGTGCTACGGAAACCTTCAGACTCTGAATCGAAAGCCCGTCGCAAATCCTTTGATGGGAAGAACAAGCAAGGCCTCAGCACATCTGTTCTTCATCTGAAGGTAATGGAAAGTAGGAGGTTCCTGTTTGCCCTAAGATAATTTGACATTCATTGTTTTTTAGATATAATTAAAATAATCTGTTTCCTCAATCCCTTCTCTGAAGGATCCCCCATAACCCCTCTCTTACTTGTCCTCACATTTACCCCAAGGACAATTTCTCCTTCAACAGGTGGTTCGCATATGGCCTGACCCACCACACGTGCTCGACCACCATGTCCCCATTCTGATTTCAGAGAGGGTGCTCAGCCAAGGGAGCACTGGGATTTAACCACACAGCAAGTGCTGCCCTACATTGATGGCTATGCACATGTAGCCAAGATTGCAGCAGCAGCTGATGTCGAAAGCAACCTGGTCAAGGTAGAAAAGCATTAAAAATAGCTTTTTGTCGGAGAAAACATGATTAACTATGTATGCTTTACAGTTTGTTTGTCTTTCTGAGAAAAATCACACATTTTAGAAGAGTAGATTAGATGCAGACAAAATGAGAGAAATGCTGTCATTCAAAAGTGTTTCATCCAAATAGAAAAGTCAGAATTCAATCACTACAGTTTGAAACATCTTGATATTTGTATTTCTGTTTTCTTACTGTGGTTGTGTTTCATTCTATCCTTTCTCATACTAATTGGCTTTTCCCTTGTTAGGCATGCGTGGAGAACCTGCTCTACTATGACCAGGTGCGTCTCCTGCCCATCTTCCAGTACTCAAACATATACACAGTGACTTCAAACATCGGCAAGCTCTATGACAACCATGAACTGCAGGAGGAATGCCAGCGTGCCGTTGGGAAGAATTCAACCTCGTTGCCACAGCTCTCACACATCATGATGCTCTACTGCAGGTATGGGCGGGTCTCAAAATGTAATGGTGGAAGGTTTTGCATTGTCAGATTATATGGTGCCCTGAAGAGGATTATCTACTTTTTATCCATTCACAAAAGTTGAAATATCTATCAAAGTTTGGGGTGTACATCAGCATGTTCTGCCCCATGCTTGGGTTGTTGTCCAACCACAGTCCTAAGGCATCCTAGTTGCAGGACCCTGGGTTTATGTCATAATTAGATGTAATCTAGAGTTGACAAAATTTTCCAGGGGTAGAATGGCTAAAAATGATGCTTCTGTTACTATATTGTTACTGACATTACTAACAGCTCTATACTAGAAAATATCGAAAATCAAGGAAAATGGTAAACAGATGTTCAACACACAATTGGGCATGGCATGTACATACATGCCATGCCCAGCAACACAGGGTTAAGATAATTACATTTTGTGGATCTCCTGTCTTCAGAAAGCCCCCCTAACTAGCCTAGTCCCTACCATAACATTCAGGGGTTCTTTTAACCTAAAGGTGTTTGCCACTGAGAATCATGATTTTTGAAGTATTATTATTGCTATATACTCATGGTGTGTTGAACAATATTTCAGTTTTTATATTGAATTCAAATGTTTTGCATCTATGGGACCAATTTGTTGTCATTTTCAATGCATTTGTAAGTTTAGGAAGCATTTGATTTGTATTTTATAGTGTTTTCTTTACTACATATTGGATAACTTTTATCCTAACAAAAGGATCCTGAAGGTATCCTCAACCCCTCAATTTTATTTATTTATTTATTTATTTATTTTTTAATAGATATGATAACGATGTTAAGGAAGACAATGATGATGTCAGTGTTTATAGATATTTGAAATAACGGTGATTATGATGATAATGACAGTCTCTCCACTTGCTTGGCCTCACAACAGCATGACCTACGGGGTGAGCGTGCGGGACCTGTGCATCCGCTTTAATCCACAGGCACTCAATGTGGATGAGCGGAGACTTATCCAGTTCGGCCTCCTGCACAACCTCATCCGGCGGCTGCATCAGTATCCAGTCTTTCTCAGTCCTGATGGGGGAGGAGGAGGAGGAGCAGGAGGAGCAGGAGGAGCCCCCCCACCCCAGGGCACCCCCAGCAGGCTGAGTGCTATACACCGGTTGTGCAACGGTTCCCACTCCTATGATGAGATCTGCTGCCGGCTTGGATTGACACACAAGGAACTGCATGACAAGGTGGAGAGGGACCCCAACATCCATGTGCTGTGGAAGTGAAGGCAAATCTAAAAGTTGATTTCAGAGCAGAAAGCGAGGGGAAAGCGGGACTTGGAATAGAGTTGGAATAGGAAGTGGGGGTAAAGTAGAGATGAAGTCTGAAGTGGAAAGTCTAAGGGAAGGGGGGCTGATGAAGTGAAGAGTTGAGGGAAAAGGAAAGTGAGGCTGTGGGATGTGAAATAGAAAATGGAAAGTGAGGAGAGATGTGGCAGTGGAATGGAGTTGAAGTGAAGATGAAGCAAAATATGAAGCACTGAAATTCTAATTGTTTGTTTGTGTGTTGAAGTAAAATTTGTTATCTAATTATATTTGCATAATATGATTTCTTGCATTGTAATTTCATTTTTGTCTTGTGGAATATCAGTCTTTCCCATATTTGCTGGATCAATTACAATTATATTCATTCTATATGTCAGAATGAATATCGACACGAGAGTAGTAGATAATAACAAGTGGCTTTAAAGACAGTGTTGTGCATTTATGGAATACTTGTTTGGATTTGTGTGCTTACTGTATAGGTGGAATGTGTGTATGTATGCCTGTGTGGGAAATTCTTGCAGATGTATTTGTGTAGAGGCAAGAAATGCAGGAAGCCCGTCTGGTAATCATTTGCTCAAACAAGGATTTTGCATTTTGATACTGAAGCAGAAATTATTACTCTTCCATTCTAACAAATGTAGAAAATGCTTGAATGAGAATAAATAATTCCACAATATAGGATATGTAACTGACATTTCTACATTGCCTCTTCATCTGAATCAAGTACTTGTAGTGAAAATGCGATAATGAGACATCAATTGCAAATCTTTGTGTGTGAATTTATTCATTCTCAGTCATACCTTTCCTATATATAGTTAAGAGTCATATGTCATATGCCAGAGTATTATATACAACTGGATTTATTTCAATAACATCACATTTCTCTCTTTGTATATTACAGCTTGTGTCTGACAGAGTTTATTAACTAAATGAAATATGTTTATATATGACAGACTGAAGTAAAGATATATGTCTGTAAAGCATTTTTCTTTCATTTTTAAATGTTTCTCTTGTACCAAAAATAATAAGGATTTGTTGTATTTGAATACTACATGACATTAATGTCAACTGTGGTAAATTAAGAAATATAATAAAGTCATAGCGATCTTTAATTAATTCAATATAAAATTTATTGTTTTTATATCATTGATAACACAAGTAGGGAGATGAATTATAAATATTGAATAAATAGTAATTAGTATAAACAGTGAGGAAGTTAATGGAAACCAACTTTACCAGAGTGAAAATGCTGCCAAGACTGCATTGTGCATCTTACCTAGACAGTGGAATCTACGTACCACCTTCTCCAAGCCTAATTCCCCCTCTCCCTACTTGCCCCTCTACCCTGGAGCAACTCGCTAGGTCCTAAGCCTAAAATTGAGGAGTAGTAGCATTACACAAAGGGAAGGATTACGTGTAGCAGACTTCTAAGGACGGAGAAATACTTTCCATCTGTCAAACTCCTCTTTCTCAGTCTTCAGAGTCTAATAAGCCAACCGTAAAATAAAGGAGATACAAGGAAGCACTGACATACCATAGGCAATATATATTGAGGGAGCATACAGGAAATAAACATGAGTGGCTCAGGCCGCTCACTTGCAGCATCTTGCACCTGGTTTCCATCACTCCCTAGGCTTTTTAAAGCATCTCATGTTCATCAACAATGACTTCTCTTACTGTCACAGGAAAGAGTGGTTCATATTACATGCACCATATAGCAGTCGGCAGAGGTTGAACTATGTGACTTGGCATGGGACCTGTTATTCCTTGCACTGTGAAGCCCATCATGTAAAAAAGACATGTAGTTTTGACTTTGGAATGCAGGCTGAAGGGCCAAAATTTGTAACATGGACACCTGGCCAAGGCTGTGCCATGGCTCATGGATCCAAGCAAGATAAGCGAGGCCTTCCCCAACACAACTCTGGAAAGCAAGATGAGAAGAGAGAAAGAGAAAGAAGGATCCCTTGCCTCGTGAGTCCTCTAGAACCAGTCCTTCACGTCCAGGTATCACACCTCCTTCATAACCTATCAGTTTCTTCCCAGGGAAAAAGTACCCATTACAAACAGAAAAATGGGAGAATCAAAAACTTACTGCCATTTTACAGAAAAAAGCAAAAAAGTGATCACTCTCTACCACAATGCTGATGGGTAATAAAACACCAAACCAGACCCTGATGAAGTCAGAAGAGAGACATACCCCCAGTAGTGGCAAGAAGTTTTCTAATTTCTTGCCCCACGGTAGTACAGGCAAGGAGAGAGGATAGTGGAGACTAGAGAGAGTCAGGGAAGAGATTTCTTTTCCAGTGCATTGGTAAGTCTGGCATACCATACTATCCTTTAACACCCTATAACCTTCGACATCTAACACATTTTATCCTAATTATTAAAACATTTTTACCCGTTTCGCCACAATACTTTACCATCTTGCTATAAGGCCTTTGATGTTTAGCACATTTATTTGTTTCAACCATTAGCCATTAAGTCTATCATACACTTTAGGCTGCAGTGTTAAACTCTGGTAAATTTGGATGCGCCCGGCATTGGCATCACTTTGAGGACAAAATGATAATTATGGAAAAAAAGAAGTAGGAACAAAGAATAGGAAATACTGATGCCACCAAAATTACATCAAAACAAACTGTGACAAACTGTTTAATTTTTTAGGTTCAAAATTAAACACTTCCTTTCATTCTTTTTTATTCTGAACTAGCAGATACAAAATATATATACATATATACATATCTACATATGTACAATATAATGTTATAGTGAAAAACATGTACTTGAGTGTATTTATCATCCTGGAGATGCTGAGAATTTCATTATTCTTAATGACAAGAGAAAAGTATAGTTACAAAAAGGGAGGAAAATGGAAAGACAACCAAACAGATGAAATAATGAATAAAAATTGTATAGAAATGTAAAAATATCAAATAATACTGACAATCAATTAAGCCATAAATCTGATTATTTTTGAGGTTTCTTGAAGAATGTCACCTTCCTATTACCTTCCTTAAACTTAATTGACGAAAGAACAAATATCCGTGGGGTTGATAACTGAAAATCACTTCAATATTGCAATTATCATTAAGGGAATGCTCTCAGTTATGTGTCTACTAAATGTTATAGCTTTTTTATATTGAAAAGTATTTCTCTCTGAGTTCTCTTCTTAATCTAATTATGATTATTACTTTTATATGTGTATCCTTCATAGTGGATACCATTATATTTTCTATTTATTATATAAAACAATTATTACGAATTTATAGGATATGTCATCACTACGTATAAATACAGACGACATAAATATCTAATCAACAAGTCATAAATGCTATACACTTTTACCATCAAAATTATTGTAATTTTTAATACAGTGTCGACAAACATTTCTGTTTGTCTAACCATAGCTAAACCATGCTAGTTCTAACAAAGCAATGGTTTTAGCAAACTTCATACCCAGAAAGAAGCCTCAATAAGTTCTATATCAATGGCAAAGAGAAAATGTGATCTTAGCATAATAGATTTAAAGATTTAAAGATTTAGTTCTAATGCCATTTGTTACAATGGATATTCTTTGCTGTGACATGCTGTCTGTTTTATTTTGCCCAAATCTCCCCCTGTGTGCAAGGAACGGATGGGGTTACCACTCACTGGCCAGGCTTGGGATTGAATGCAGGTCCGCAAGATTGCTAGACCAGCACCTTACCGCTGCGCGGCACAAGACACAAAGCTTGTGTGACAGGCCTTTCGTGACGCACTCCTCCTCCACAAGGCAAGATATCGCAACTGTGGTGTCCTCCTTTAGCAGATCAGCCTCTCATCAGTGAAAGCACAATGGACAGTGTGCCCCAGGAAGAGGCATGGTCATGGAATGAGATGGCAGTTAAAAGGAAAATCTGTTCTACAAGAAGGCAAAGGTGGACAATAACAAACATACATACCTATATGTATGTATGTATATCTGTACTTATGTATATGTATGTATATAAATACAAACACACATGCACATGTACACTCACACATATTAATATACAGTATATACACATACACAGTGTGCATGTGTGTGTGTGTGTGGTGTGGTGTGTGTGTTGTGTGTGTGTGGTGTGTGTGTGTGTGTGTTGTGTTGTGTGTGTGGTGTGTTGGTGTGTGGTGTGTGTGGTGTGTGTGTGCGTGTGTGCGCATGTGCGTGTGTGTGTGTGTGTGTAGACTGGCAGATGGATAGACACATAGATAGAGTGTAGATGGATAGACTGGTAAGATAAAAACATTTAAAATGAGGACATGCACTGCCCACTATGGTTTAAGCAAATTTTGTACATAGATGGCTTTGCAAGCATTGGTTAGCAAGGAAGTCAGTCACTGACCTGACTCATTTCCTGAATATTCAAGCAAAATCTTATTATTGTTATCATTGTTTGTCATTCTGATTGTCATTATTAGATATCATTAATATTAACAATAATAATATGCGGTCAAAAAACTTTTCCTCTCAAAACTTCAAGGACAAGGTAAACAGGAGAGAGCAGTCAGTCGGTCAGGTGACTCAGCACTTCTAGAGCCATCTGTGTATAACCAATATGAATAAAACCAAAACCTGGAGGGCAATACATGTTCACACACTCCTGGCTACAAGGATAAATGGTTCGTGATATTGGGGTTGACGGTTTTAGTGCCAGTAAACCTTAAAAATGGCATCAAGGTTTGTAATGGAATACTAGGGCAGGGCACAGAACTCATGAAGACGGACAGAAGCTTCCCTGAACCAACAGCCTGTTTTAGGCCAACACCTTAGCATAAGAGTCCATGATCTGTTGCAATTTTAGCCTTTTAATTCTGTTTACAGTTAGATTGTTACAGAATCAATTAGTCACCAAGGAGACTTACTTACCATGCTTATCTGATATAACCGGTTTACTCCTTACCTTGTTTTTCAAAAGAAAGTTTATTTCTAATATTCTTTTACTATGAGTATTGTTAATTACACTAAAATAAACATTGTTAACAATACTACTACTAATAATAATATTTAATAATAATACTTATGATAATAATAACAATAATAATAATGATAGTATTGGATTTTTTTTTTTTTCTGAAAATTCAAGGAATGGGGTAATCTGGTTAGGCTAGGTAGTCCTCCCTACCGCTTATGGAGCCATCTATGTGTAAAGAAACTATACAAAAATACAGTGAACAGTACATGTACCCGATAACAATGGGTTACCGTGGGTGGTTGCCCAGGACACCTGGGATCAATTCTGCCTGAAATATGTACATAATTGAAACTCTGGTTTATTTCTATTACAAAAATGAGTGCAATTGTACTTGAGAGGTTAAAGATTGAGCATGTCCATTCTACACTTGGATTTAACAAGCAGATGCATTGCAAAATCCTAAACTAAATCATAAAAACTATAGCGCATGGACAGAAGAAGAATGAAAATGCCAAAAAAACAAAAACAAACAACAAACGAGAAAAGACATTTGAAATATAAAAAAAGAAAAAATATTCTTATGACTACCAACAATAGTAACAATAAGGAAAAAAAAAAAAAAAAAAAAAAAAAAAAGACACCACAGTACAAAAAATGACCTCTTATAGCTCGATCCCTGTTCCTTCTTACTTCTTCCCTGCGGCTCACCCTTCCTCCTCCTCCTCCTCCTCCAAAGAGATGGAGCCCGATGATGCTGCTGAACTCCCTTTGCTACCTCCGTTTGCCTCTGACAGCACATACTCAGCAAAATCCTGTATTGTGTGTGGTTGAATTGAGTCAAGGACCCACTTCTCTGACAGGTGGGTGACTTTCAGGGGGCGGGTTCCTGACGAACCTGATGGGGCTGAAGATGAGGAAGGGAGTCCGATGGCCAGTTGCGGAGCGGGAATGGACACCACTTTGGCCCCTGTTTAGCTCAAGGAGGTTCTGTGGGTACGAGAAGGAGACCAAGCCAGTGAATGAGTGTCTAAGAGACATGAGTAAAAGAAGAAGAAATAGAGGAGGAGGGAACAGATATGGAAAAGATGGAATATGGAATGTGGCTCACTGAAAGAAGAAATAAAAAAAAAAAAAAAAAATATGAGGAAAAGAGCCAGGACTAAAGAAAACTGTAGCAATAACAGCATTAAAACCTCTTCTTAACTCTCTTTCTCAGCCTTACCCTTAGTTGGTCTGTGGGAGGAGTGCATCCTTCTGAAACATAGATGGAACCCACTCCAGAAAAGAGTGTTTGGGTGTAATTCCCTTTTCTGCCTCGCTCCTGCTTTTGTAGCCGTGAGATCTGTGTGACAGAGGGAGGAAAGAAGCATGAATTGTGCATCTGAAGGTACAACTGGCAAAAGCGATGTCCTGGGCACTTCTTTAGTTATTGGTACTGTGTTGATCTTGATAGAGGAACAGGGATTTTAAGCAATATTTGATGGTAAAATCTTAATGAAAACTCCATGCTGTATGATCTGAATTTGCCAACAAAATAGCCTATTTATTCTGATAATGTGTTATATATTGTTGCACATTGTTAAATTGGATGTTATGATAGTTTTAGGAGTTGTTAAGAGAAGGAAGAGGGATGGAGGAAGGGAGGATGGGAGGTGAAGGAAGAAGAGGCTCAGTCTCCATACCCATCACCAGCTTACCTTGGCCCCTGGAAAAGCCATGAAGAGCTCAAAAGCTTCCTCTGGTGCCCATCGACCCAGCTCAAGTGACTCATATACCCACGATGAGTCCAGAACCCACGCACCTCTTGCAATGCCTTGCAATAGGCTCAATGTGCGCCGTGCTTCCCCGCACACAACATGGGATGTTGATGCATCGATCACTGAAGTCACGCGGAACCCACCCAGCTTCATGATGACGGGAAGGAGGCTGGTCTTCTCTCTGGGATAGGAGGGAGGGCAGGAGGGGAGGTTACAGGGGATAACGGAGTCACAATAAAAGAAAAGAAAGCCACAATACAAAAGGAACAATCAAATGTGACATTCCAAGTTTTATGCATCTCTTCAATGTTTTTTCATCTGACAAGGGTCTCAAGCATTTTCAATCTTTGTTCATCTTGAGCCATGATATTTGATGGTGGGTATGAGGAGAGAAGGGAGGAAACACAGCAGAGAAAGTTGAAATATGAACAGAAGAAGAAGAAGAAGAAGAAAGAAGAAGAAGAAGAAGAAGAAGAAGAAGAAGAAGAAGAAGAAGAAGAAGAAGAGAAGAAGAAGAAGAAGAAGAAGAAGAAGAAGAAGAAGAAGAAGAAGAAGAAGAAGAAGAAGAAGAAGAAGAAGAAGAAGACGAAGAAGAGAAGAGGAGAAGGAGGAGAAGGAGAAGGAGGAGAAGGAGGAGAAGGAGGAGAAGGAGAAGGAGAAGCATAAAAGATGCAAATGAATGAAAATAAAATATTGAACTGTGTGTGTGTGTGTGTGTATGTGTGATTGTGTGTGTGTGTGTGTTGTGTGTGTGTGTGTGTGTGTGTGTTGTGTGTGTGTGTGTGTGTGTGGTGTGTGTGTTGTGTGTGTGTGTGTGTGTGTGTGGTATGTGTATGTGTATGTGTATGTATGTGTATGTGTATGTGTATGTGTATGTGTTGTGTGTGTGTGTGTGTGTGTGTGTGTGTGTGTGTGTGTGTGTGTGTGTGTGTGTGTGTTGGAGGAGTTGGAGGATGAGAAAGGGGGACTGGGGAAGGTGGTGAAATATCAGGAAAAATGTCTGGAGGGGAAGGGTCTGGATAATGATTCTGTTGTGATAGAAGGGATTCATGTGAGTATTCAGGAGGGAGGGGTAGCGAGGGGGGGTATGTTGGGAGGATGTAGGAGGAAGGGGGTGGAGGGAACTTGGGAAAGAAGGATGGATATCTGAAAATGCTTTAAATGTAGCAGGAGTAGGAACAGAGGGATTGGGGTTAGGTGAGGGAGTGGAGTGTTTCCTTGTGTCATCTTTAGGAAGTTTTGGATGTCTTCAAGGGTTTCTGGAGGGGAGTTGGGTGAAGAAGACTGAGAAACAAAGATTCTCTTGTGAGGAAGAGAATAGATATAGGAGGAGCAGAAGAAGACGAATGTGTAGGAGAGCATGTAGTAGGAGAGGTGGAGTGGAACATTTAGGTTGCCTGGTACTCGTGAGCATTCAAGTGGAAGCGGTAGAGAGGGTGGGGTATGTTGGGAGGATGTAGGAGGAAGGGGGGTGGAGGGAACTTGGGCAGGAGGAGAAGGATGGATATCTGCAAATGCTTTAAATGTAGTAGGAGTAGGAACAGAGGGATTGGGGTTGGATGAGGGAGTGGAGTGTTTCCTTGTGTCATCTTTAGGAAGTTTTGGATGTCTTCAAGGGTTTCTGGAGGGGAGTTGGGTGGCAAAGACTGAGAAACAAAGATTCTCTTGTGAGGAGGAGAATAGATATAGGAGGAGCAGAACACGACGAATGTGTAGGAGAGCATGTAGTAGGAGAGGGTGGAGTGGAACATTTAGGTTGCCTGGTACTCGTGAGCATTCAAGTGGAAGCGGTAGAGAGGGTGGGGTATGTTGTGTGGATGTAGGAGGAAGTGGGGTGGAAGGAACTTGAGGAGGAGGATGGATATCTGCAAATACTTCAAATGTAGAAGGAGTAGGAACAGAGGAATTGGGGGATGGATGAAGGAGTGGAGTGTTTCCTTGGGTCATCTTTAGGAAGTTTCGGATGTCTTCAAGGGTTTCTGGAGGGGAATTTGGTATAGAGGACTGAGAAACAAAGGTTCTCTTATAAGGAGGAGAAGAGGAGATGGATATCTGAGGAACAGATGAAGAGGAAGGTGTAGGAGAGAGTGTAGTAGGAGAGTGTGGAGTGGAACGTTTAGGTTGTCTGGTACGACAACTAAAGTGAGGAGGAGGGGTAGGTATCCGGGAAGTGGTAGAGATTGGAGTATCTGGATTTAGGATGGAAAATGGATTTGACTGGTGGATAGGGTGAGTAGACATAGGACGTAGGTTTTGGGTATAGGGAAAAGATACCTGGGGAGATGCAGAAATATCTTGTGTAGATGGTGAGGGAGCAGAGCGCAGGACTGTTTTGGAATAAGTTGAGAGAGAAAAACCTCGTCGTCGTGCTTCCTGTCTGGCCTCTCATAGAGTGAGGCCTAGTTTAAATCTGAGGACTGCTACCTCACATTCAAACTTATAGGCAGGGCAGCTCCTATAAAACACATTATGGGAGTCTCCACAATTGGCACATGTACGTGACTGAGCAGGGCAATTTGAACGGTCATGACCAGGTTGGGCACATAAGGGCATTGGGCTGTGGAGCGACAAAACGCCAACATTTTTGACATTGACGAGGAAGGGGTTGATATTGTGGACATGATAAGACAATCCACCAATATAAACCTCATGAGGGAGGTCTTGTCTATGGAAGCTAATCTTGGCAATATTGACATGAGATTTATGTTGGCCTCTAGGAGGAAGAGTGTAACACTGTACTGCTACTGCATCATATTCATCAAGGCAAGAAAGTAAGTCATTTTCACAGTCTGACCAGTCCTTGTTATACATGGGACAAGCATTTGGGGAAATAGAAACAGTTCCAGTACAAGTATTAAGAGTTGGGTGAGGTTCGGCAGGAATGGGTTTGCCAGTAAGGTCAGTTAGGGCAGATAGTGCACGAGCTTGAGCTTCAGATGTAACCGTGACAAGGCGTGAACGATCAGAGCGACTGCGAAAGGTAACCTTGCCTACTTGTTTCTGGAGGCACTGCTGAAAGAGAAGGGTATTCTCAGAATAGGGGGCTGTGGGGGAATCACAAAGAATCGATCCCACTTGGCTGGGCCAAATAGAGTACCCAGGTTTGCAGAGGTAGAGGTAGTAGAAGGACGAGGGCGAGAGGAAGATGGGGTGGTGTGAGTGAGTATTCTGCGGGGAGGACAATAAGGATGAAGAGTAGTAATAAGGGAAGAGGGGGTTGACATTGAAGAGGGATGTGTAGTAGGGGATGAAGAGGAGAATGTTGGGGATGACGAAAAGTTATTTTCCAGGGGTTGAGGAAAAGTATTTTCCAGGGTTGAGGAAAAGTTATTTTCAAAGGGTTGAGTAATAACCTGAATGGGTTTTTCAGAATGGTTAGAGTTGTTCATAAGCATCAAAGAGGGGGTATTAGCATAGTGGTCGGAGCCGTGGTCAAAGGAGGGCAGGGGTCGGAAAACCATCAAAATCAAATTCAGATAGGCTATTTGATGAAGGGCAAGCCTTATTGCCTTTGTTAAGGGTAAGGAATCTTCATTACTGGCCATGGTGAGCCTGAATAAACTGGTCTAAGGGGTAAGGGCTAAGTAATCAACCAAGGGAATACCGTGCCCGTGGCTCCCAGAGGCCGTTCGTGATTGACACAAAGCCAAAGTTTCATCCTTTTAGCACGGCTCTCACACCTTAGGAATGGGATAGAAGAGGGAGTAAAGAAGATACGGAAGAGGAGAGAAGAGAAGAAAGGACCAAGCAAAATTAGTTGAGGCAATGGCTGAGGCCCAAGGCAGGGGTAATCCTCTACATTGGGTCTCAGTCCCCGTCTCCTAAGCCCTTCCACGATGATAACGAGCTAGGTTTTGGGAGGGAGAAGATACGGAAGAGGAAAGAAGAGAAGAAAGGACAAGCAAAATTAGTTAAGGTGAGGGCTGAGGCCCAACGTAGGGGTGATCCCAACATTGGGCCTCAGTCTTTGTCTCCTAAGCCCTCCTACATTGACAACGAGCAAATTATTGGGAGGGACTGTTGAGTATATTGCATTATCAAAGTAGTTTATTTTCATCATTCCTCTTTTTGTTGTTAATATTATTAGAACTGTTATTACGAGATTCTTAGAATTATATTCATAGCCTCTATCATTTATCACTGTTATTGCTATTACAATTGTCATTATCATTGCATAGTATACTGCCATTATAATTGAAGTATATCCCTACATTGCATCAATTGTAATAATCAACTTCTAAATCCTCTCATATCAAGTCACTCAGGCATTAATCTCACAGGAATAGTTTCATCTATCATCAATCATACTATAGAGCCTCAAAAAATGTTTGGTGGGACTTATCCTTTATATAGCCTGAAATATGATCAAGTTCACTTCAGCCTGTGCAGAAGTAACAGAGTGAATAATATTGTAAATTGGATGTGTATTTTGAAATTGTACTCAAATCTTATTTTATACCTAATCTACTGTTTGGTATTCATAATGAATTGACTTTTGTCTGCTAAAGCTTTGGATCCCGGTAATGCGACCATCATGTCATGAAAATAATTTGGCTGATGGCCAGGTAACTGGAACATGCTGTTGTGAAAAAAAATTGGCAGGGTAAGTTACAGAAACTGAATGAATGAATAAATGAATGAAAGAGAGAGAGAAATTTTTTTAATGGTTATTGTAATATACTATGAGAGATGATATGGAGTCTGTGCAAGGAAAACATTCCACTACATTCTTGATACAGTAAGTTAGAAAGGAGTCTTGACAACGCGCCAATCAAGTAAGTCTAATGCCTGGATATTGGGCCTTGTGCGGGCAGTGAAGCACCCAGATCCAAAGGGTTAAATTCAATAATGATCACAATTTCATGTAACTGACATTTTGATAACAAATCTTCAAAATCATTCTGCTTTGATGTGGATGTAATAGCTAACTACCGATTAAAGTTCTTTCACTGTGGAACGTGTACTCTCACTCAGTTTTTCCCATGATTCAATTAGGGATTCTCCATAATAATAATTGTCTTACAAAATTAAGTATTACATAAGCACTGCATTGTCTAAGAGAGTGTCATAGAAGAGCACAGCCTGCACTGCTTTCCTATTTCTTCAAGCTGAATTGCCATTAGTACAAGCTCAGCCATGGGATTTCAGAGGAAGTGGGTCATGCAGTGTTAGCAG